CCCGCAGCCAACCCCTCGTGCTGGCTGCTGGATCTCTTCCGGTCCTTTTGCAACTGGCTGGCAGCCAGCCAGAATTCACGGTACTACCACGAACCAGGACACTAGAGTTCGACATGTAGCATCTCCGTGGGCAGCGCCATTTCAAAATGAATTTTTCTTTCCTCTATACGTATCTTTCTCTGTTCCACTTTGTACGTGTAACTTGTGTATATGTGCGTGGATGGACGTGTGAGTGTGTGTTTTTACTCTGACCGCGCGGCTTACCCGGTCAAACGAGGGCACGATAGCGAGGTTCGAGCCAGAAGACCGCGCGGTTTGCCCAAAAGAATCCGTTTTCAGGAGAGAGCATTTTCCCCCGACCACTTCTTTGCGACAGTTTTCTCGCGCGCTTTTTTCCCCCTTTTATAGTTTCTACTTTTAATATTTTATATTTTTGCCCGTTTTTTCTTTTTTTTACTCGTTTCTACTCTTTGATTTTCCTGAACTATTGCCTGCGGAACTTGCTCTCGATGATGTTCGATTTACGCCACCGGTGAGCGAACAGTGTTATGTTTACCAATGGTTTTTGTTTTGCAATCGCAATTCGGTTTCCATAGGTGGAATCAATTGATTGGAATAGTTCAATTTGATTAACGTCCAGGTCTTAGCCGATTAATCTAAAATGAGCTTGAATTAAAGAAGTTACTAGTAATTGATAAATGCCTAGTCATTCAGAGTTATTCAAACTCTACTTTCATCAGCTATAATATACGATACTCTACAGCGCGATTCATTTTTTCACTACGCTTGTCACCGCAGAGTCAAAAATATCGAAAATGAATTTTTTTAACAAAACGAGAACGTTTCTCACAATCACTGCTATAAAATCAACAAACACAGGAGCTGTAAGACGCTTGCGTGTATATTAAAAAAATTTTTTTTTAATTTTTTTTTCTTTTTTTAATTTTTCCATCGAGACAACGATCTACAGTGAGATCCATTATAACGAGACGTGATAAAGTGCATGCGTACCGAGCGAAAATTCAAAGTCGATTTTCTCGAAAACGAAGCCTCAAACGAAAAATTTTTATTCTATATTTTCGACTTCTTTTTTCGCGTAGAATCACCCCCTTTCCGCTTGTACCACCAGTTACCAACCACCCTGTATACAATAGATCGTTTGGAAAGGTGTACTACAAGTCTTGAAATTTTTTTTGGTGTTGGTTGCTACGGTTCCTGGAGATGCTTGAGCTTTACCGCCCCAGTCATGTGTAAAAGATGCGTTCTAACACGGACCCCCGCTAAAGGAAAAGTTCGCTCGGAGGGACCGTGCATAATCGTAAAGAAACAATGTTGCGAAGCTCGCAACACGCCGGAACAAGAGGAGCCACCTATTTTGCCTCGTCGCTTCCTCTTTTTGTGCGGCCAGGAAGTAACTTTAAAGCGTTTCAAATTAGTACGAGTGTTAGGGAAAAGGGGAGAGGGGGAAAAGAGGAAATTTAAATGGTTCACTTTGGACGGGGAATTAATTAACTTGCAAAGAATATCAGAGAATTTTTTTGCTTAATGAAAATGGAGGCCAAGTTTGTTGAGAAGAATATTCGGTATTCTTTTATTTAATTTGCAATAATTGACCAATGTTTACTGCGACGAATGCGTTGGATTTAATTAATACATCGCCGTGGATAATGTTTCGGTCGAGCACGTAGTTTGTTATTTGGAAGGACAAGAATCATAATGGTGTAACTCAATACATTGCTATTTTTTATTGAATAATATCCTACGTTTACTGTTTCAAAAACCCATTATATTTTTCCAAACTATGAAAACGTATTGCGATAGAGAATAACGTTATAACGTAAATGATTATAAACTACGATATAATAAATTCACGCTCTCGAAATCTTCGCTTATTATAATTTCAATCGTTTTTACAGTATGTGCACTATGCATAATACACAATCGTACGGTAGCTAATCTCAAGAAGAATTTTCTGAAACGTCGTTTATTTTGGAACAAACAAAAAATTATTCGTTTCATATCGAACGCAATTAGACGTTAATATTTTATCTAGGCAAAATGCGATTTGCATTATATCGTCTCTCATTCATAACAAATTCACGATTATTAGCCTATCATCTATCTTCGAATTGTCAAGAATTCTAAAGTCCCTTAATCGCCAGTCATGTAAAAGAGCCCTAGAAAAGAGGAAGCGGTGAAAACAAACATTATTCCCCTGATCCTTTTCCAGTATCCGTCCTGGACAAAGGTTGGCCAAACCTTGACGTACATTTTCCTCGGATCGACAAAAGAACAATCGATCTTTCTCATCGCAGTTGGACGCGTTCCCGTGGAATCAGGGAACCTTCAAATTTTCCCCAAAGCACACAGCCGGAGTAGTGTGCGGGATAGAGAAAGCGCGGTGACAACAAACGCCCACCATAGCCCTCTATAAGAGAAGTAGCCTTTTGTAGAGGTTCCATAGAAGGCTCGTACGTTATCGCAAGTACGTAATCGTAAAGACTTAAAGTATAACGCCGTCGGGTCCTTTCTTTCGCCGGAAACTGAGTGCCGCCTCACCATCCTTCCTTTATCCTTGGCTCTCTCTTTCTGCCTGTCTTTTTCCCCTCTTTCGTCTTTCTCGCGGTCCATTCTATCGCGGCCACGGTGTTCCTCGACTTCACAGAAGAATTTCAGGGTCCGATATAAAAGACAAGAAGACGCTGCCAGGAACCAGAAAGCGTATAGCCGCGGCAGACGAGAAATTCTTTGAGAATTTTTCAGACTGGCAATGAATTACTCGCGATAGCGGCGTTAACGAGCAGGGCTCAGATAGGGCGAAAAGAGACAGAGTGGGACAAAGCTTGGTGGAGAATTGGAGCACGAAATGTAATAGTTCGACGAGTCGCTATCGTTCGTGCTTGTTATTTGTTTCTTTGCGCCGCAACGAACGCCGTGTCGCAACAACGGAACGTTCTTATGAAATGATATATGTCCGTAATCTCTGTTAGAGCGATACCTCGCGAGGTGCGTCAACGCGAAAGCAAGCAATACTTCGCGGTTTTCTACGATCTCGCGATCTTCGATCGTCGAACTCTTTGTTGACTCAGGATCTGGCCCGATATATCGCTTATAAGTCAGTTCGGAACTAATGTTACTCTTTCTGATGAGTTTGTAGGTGATATATCGGATTTGATATTAGTTTCGATTATGATTTCGACATAAAAAGGCAAATTTTAATAAATACTTAGAATCATCGTTATTTTTTCTGAAGCGTTCAGACACGATGGCGCGACGTCGAGGTTCGCGTGTCCTTCTGGTGAAGTGTACGACAGGGTTGAAACTCAGTCTTCTGGTAAAGCGTACGGCAGAGTTTCTTCAGGATCCAGTTTCAGAGTCAAGGACTTAAAAGCCATTCGTTCGATGAAGTTCGGACACGTTGAAAGTTGAAAGTTGGACACTATCGTCGTTTGTCGAAGCAGGTCCCGACGAACACGCCGCGTCCAGCTTTTCTCGTGCAAGAGAATCAGATCGGCCGGTGCCATTAACGTTAAAACGTTTACTTTCGACAGATGGGAAAGCAATCAAAAAGTGGCAGTTCCAAGGCATAAATGGGGCGTCGCTGCTGAACTTTCGTCGTACTTGCTCGAAATCCTGATCGAAATGTAGGCATAGGTCGTATTTTAGTAGGGAGCAGGTTACCAAGAGGAGGAAGTGATTTTAGCATTTGAATTTGAAACTCGTTCAGTGCTACGTGCATTAGCTCGTTTGTTAGAAAAAATAGCTTGCGTTGTTTATACTTCTACAATTTTCTTTTTTAATATAATGTAGAATATCATCTTTTCGCAATTGAACACAATAAACCCTACAGTCTGCGACTTCACCACAAACATTAAACAGACATTGACCATCATTAAACATCATCGAAACGAAATTATTGTAGTTTGTAACCAAGCGTTTCCCCTGTACGTTCTGCTTCATCGTTCGAATTTATTACTCGGCTGGTCAATCCTTGTAATTGCTAGCTAGCAGAATTTTGAAATCGAGTTTGATATATCCAGGCAAATGGTATTAACGTCGAAAACCCTCGAAGAGGGATCTTACTTCCAGCAATATATTTCATTCGTTTTAACTTTCTCGCGTTTAACACGCTACTTTTGCACGAATGCGACCACAGAAACAATTTAATTCCCGACGACCGATAATCCGGTCCCAAAACAAAGGCGCGAACGCTAAATTTCATTTAGCACCGTGAACCCACCCGCTCCGCTAGGAATAATCCTTCTGATGAATATGGTGCACACAGGAAGGTGAAATGTTTGAATACATACGTCGATGCCTGTGACATGACGTTCAAATTACTGTGCTAATAAGAGGAGTAACGTTATACGAGACTCTAGGATAAATGTCGACTTTTTATATCGAACTAACTATTGATCAAATTCTTTACAGTGCAAATATTTTTTGTACGTTACACTAGTCGCGGTCTTTACATTTATCCCAATTTTGATTTTCCAAACGATATCCCAAAGCAGCAATCATCGCTGTCGCAATATGGTAACGTTAGCGAAAACGATCCCATTCGCTCGAACATAGTCGCATATAATCGCCAATAAAGACGAATCGATTAAAAGGATAATTTACCTGATAGTCCATGTAGTTCCCGTAGCCCATGTGGTTGCAGGTGCAGGCACATGCCTGGATGTGCCTCCGCATGTCTAGTTCAACCTCCTCGCCGCAGACGCCTCTGCTCGCGGCCATCATGGTGTCACCCATGCAGTAACCGCTGGTGCAATACATCCTTGGATCGCTCTGGTCCAGGTAGCCACCTCCCGTGTCATCGTACCCGAGTCCGCTAGCGCACCTGGAATCCGAGGTATATCCCACGCGAGATTGGGGACGTTCCTCGTATCCCAGTCTGGACTGGGGTCGATGGAAGCTCGGAGGTACATCCTGCGACACGGAGAAGGTTTTGCGATAAGCTGCGTTCACCTATTGCATTATTGAAGAAGGTGAGGCGAGGTAATGCGTGGTGGGATTTCGATAGAAGTTTCGAAGGAAACGGAGGATGGGATATTCGAGTGGAGAGTTCGACTGTTCAATACGTTTCGCACTAATTAAATTTTCATTATTTAGAACTACGGATGTTCGTAGTAATCTATGTTTTTAGGAACAAAATTAAAGACAGACTATATATGTATATATATTCATAATCGCATATCGAATGTAAACCGTATGAAATTCGTAAGGATAACACAGACACGAGATTTTAACGTTAAATTTCAATGTGAATAAAATAAAGTCAATGGATATTAAAAATCACGCCGAATTTTTGGCCCTACAACGTATCGATAAATTAGAAGGCCGAAATGAAATTTTTTTTCTATGGAAAATATTTTTTGCCCCAAAGTGGCGCAACAAAAAAATCGTTCTTCTTGAATTAAATGGTAATGAATAAATCATACAACAAATATCCTATTATATATTCCTCTCATTTCGTGAATTTTAGTAGTAGATATAACACGTGAAAGAACTTTTTATCAATTCCTTTGCTTGTTTAGAAAGAAGAATTTACTAATTTTCAGTATTATGTCTGGCGTCGAATAATTGCTATGAGAAATTTAAAAAATAGTGGTGGATATAATCGAGAAAAGTCATGAAATTTCGCACACTTTTAATTTCCTTCAAGTTATCGGTGGAGATGGATGACACTGGAGATAGTTCTTAGATGCTTTTTAGGTATTCTGGTAGGTCTGAGGTGAGTGAATCATTTAAATGTTGTTTAAAAGGTCTTTATTATCTTTACTCTTTAAGAAATCTTTTCGTATTAATTTTTAATTTTTATTCCATTAATCATAAATGGTTATATTTCATTTTGTCAATGGAAGTAATGGTAAACCTAATTTTTATTATTACAAATGGATATTATTAATTTATATTTACTATTACTTTAAAAATGTCAAAGTTAAACATTATTATTAATTAAACTTCTATTTTTTTTTAATACAAATTTAAAGGCACTAGTTGTTGTAATAAAACTAATTTATTAATAATTTTATATAACATATAACTATTATCATTGATAAATCAACATGACAAATTTATTCTTTATTGCGTAGTATGGTTTATATAACTTTTATATATGTGCAATTACATTCGTAGAGTATAATATTGATAATATTTCTATACTCTGTTTTCATATTTTCTATTACAGAAATCGTATCATCTTTGCAACCAAGCGAAACTTCAGTAAATTATTTAAGTTACATTGATTGTTAATTCATTTGCCATTTAAACATACTTTGTATCTATACTGCGCTAGATTTAAGTATATTGTATATTCCAACAACGTAAGCTTCAGAAAGATGTACAATTATTGTATAAATTAAAAACCTATTGTAAATCATATCCATATTTTCCTGGTACAAAATTGCAATTTTTCCTGCTACATCTTCTCAAGTTATGTTCTTCTGATTTAAAACTACGATTTTAGTTAAAAAATTTCTCGGAACATAAAAATTTCAGTTCCGAAAAATTTTACGTGTCACTTAATTATATTCCCCTTATGCAAAATTTCATGTGTGGTTAAAAATTCCCACCATGATCTGAAAATTTTAGTTCTAAAAAATTGTTGCATGTCAGCTCTTCGTCAGTTATGTTTTCCTAATACATAATTTCGTTTGTGATAAAAAATTGTTGCCAATACCTGAGAATTTCAATGCTAAAGAGCTTTTGCGTGCGACTTACTTGCGAGTTATGCTTTCCTTATGTAGATTCTTAAATTTTCGCAGGAAATTTTTATCAAAAGTTGTTTCATCTTGTTTCTATTATTTCTGTTACGATTCTTATACATACATGGATAGAAGAAAGGACGGATATATGGATAGAAAGACGAGCAATGGATAAGAAGCAAAAGGAAAAGGGGATGGGAAAGAAGATAAGGAAAGGGAAGTATGAAAGGGGTAAGGAAAAAATATAAGGAAATAGAAAGGAGGCATGGAAAGAAACATAAAAGAAAGAATACAATGAAAAGAAATATAAAGGAAAGGAAAGAATGGTGAGGAATACAGAAAATAACTAGGAAGGGAAGGGAAACGAACGCTCTTGGAACTATTATTTACCTTTGTTTTTTCTGCTTTCGAGGTTTTAAGTTTAATCGAGAATGAAGGAAACAAAGAAAAGGAAGTACAGGAAAAAGTGGAAAGAAAAAATCATTGAATTTATCATTTACCTTTGCTCCTGCCGATTCTAAATATCAAATAGGAATAGAAGAAAGGAAAGAGAGAGAGAAGAAAGGAATAGAAGAAAGGAAAGGAAGGAGAGAAAGAAAAGATCATTACTTTACCTGTATTCCTGCTGATTGCAAAATTTCAGCAAGATCGAAGAAAAGAAAATACAGGAAAACATGGAGGAATCCCGAAATACATATAATATGTACTGTATGCACAAGAAACCTGGCAGTTAATTGTTTTCTAAATCTGTTTTCTCTGCATTCTTTGTTATTTTATTACATTGTCAAAGGGTTAATATTGTCGTTGTTTCTTAGAAAACATTTAATTTGAGAATTAATCTCAAATGTATTAAAAATATTTCATTGATCTATCTAAACGTACAATAATCTTAGAATATTGCTCTGATTTCGTGCTGCAGACAAGAAATACAAATTGAACGTGTTGCTTTAGCAACAACCTATGTAGAGATTTAATGGTTTGCAGAATATTTAATGATGAAGGTCTTAACGTTCGTTGGTTGGGTTACCCAAGAGCTGATTTATGCTAAGATTTCGATAAAGTTTTAGAGCTGGGAACATAGGAAGTTTAGAAGTATTTGATTTATACTAGACTGTTTGCGTAGACAGTGGTTTCCGGAATAATTAACGATAATGGCTCTAATACAGAGCACATTGATAAATATTTACATTTGCCGTAAGATACTCAACGACTGTAGCAACTTAGGTACTCTATACATTTCAATTCTACCGTAGTATTTATTTGCTTACTCTACTTTCATTTAGGTAGCTTTTTCTTAGGAAAATAAAATTCCTTAAAATGATTAAAAAATTAATCTTTAATATGATCTCTACCATGTTTCACTAGGATCGTTAATTTCTTCAGAGTCTGATGATCATCAATGTTATTCCTGAATCTATTTCCCCTCATAGTCTGTCTTCCGATGTATTATTTTTAGTCTACCCTGAATATCTTGTAAAAAGTCTAAAAATTTCGCTGAAGATGAACGAATTTACATCTGCCAATGTTCCCCATCACTTTATCATTCTATAATTCCACAATATATTTATATTTACCAGGACTAAAAGCGACCTAACCGAAGTTAATTTGTCTTCATTAGTTCTTAATTCCGTGCCAGAAGGAATTTCTCGCTAAAAGACGACCTAGTTGATAGGTTAAACGCGGAGACAACGGAGGTCAGGTCAGAGAAGGTATTTGTACGAACGGGATGATTAAGCGAAAAGTTGTGCAAATGCTACTGAATACCTTCTGGTGACGAATATAGAAGGATTGTCATTGGTCTTTGTTTCTTAGAGGTATAACAGGCGAGAAAGAACGGAAAATCTATTAAAAAAGAATATAAATTGTAGAAGACGGCGTCCATTATGATAACGCAATCAGTGCTGATCAAAGGAGAATGTTAAAAAGTGTCCATTTTTGGACCTCCTTGCGAACAAAAATTTGTTGCAGGACATTGAAGAGTCTCTATTTAGGAACAAAAAATTTCAGTAGCGTTTATCCGAGAAAAGGATGGAAAAGTTGAAAACAATGAGCGCAAAGATAAAAAAAACGATCCTAAAGCCAAGAGTGGGATCGTCGGGATAAGTTCCCGGGTACTTTGTACCTTGAGGCCCCCGCTTACGTGAGTCCCATCTGGAACTGCCGAGCATGGTTAACAGGTCGCTGGCCGGCAGTGACGTGCTGTACATCCACACGATAGTCCCATCAATGACTAAGGTTGGTACCACGGGGGTCGAGTAAAAGCCCGGAGGGAGTTCGGACACCTCAGCTCGGCCAATTATGGGTTTGGACTCCTGGTCGCAGTGGTTGATGGCCAAGATGCTGGCAAGAGGGCCGAGGGTTATTGGCTCTCCCGAATGGCCTTCGGCGAGTGAGCAGTGTACCACCTGTTCCGGAACCGTCTTGGAGAGGGTAGGGCTTAGAAAACACCCCGTTCGACCTGAGACGAATGACAGCTCCTGCCAGGCTTAACTCATCCAGGTAGCAAGGTACTGGGTGCCTTGTGCGCTGGTTAGGCGTAACCCCAACCCCTGTGGCCCTAGGGGTGCCTGCGTACTGTATGGCGATAAATGTGCGCTAAGGAAAGAACCTGTTATCAAAGACAACAATACTTGCTATGCCAATTGGTATTTGTAATCGTCCAAATCCGAAATAGCATAACATCGTTGCTACGTGAAAACGGCAACCAACAACATAGTCTTCGTTTTACTTTTGTCACTTAATACGCAAATAAAATATTTTACATTATTTAAGTGCTTATAATGCAATTTTATCTTAATCAAAATGTTATTATTCGTTTATATTTCAATTTGATACTTTTGATAGTCAAGGGTATCGCTATTGTAATGTGGAATTCAAAGTCTCTATTTTCGTCGATACGGTCTGCACAATATCCAGGTGGTTGTCCCTTGTGTGCCACATGTACGTGTGCCACTTTATAACTTAGTATTGCAAGAAATTTCAATCGAGCAACTTCTATGCGGTGAAATTGTGCTCGCCTTATATTTAAGTTTTCTCCGTGTATCAATTCAGATAAATGATTAACTTCATTCGAATGATGTAGAATTCTATTCGTAATACGGCGATCAAGAGGAGATGTAGATACTGGTTTAAATGTGGCATTTACAATGTGTGACGGCACAAGTTGTTTTATAATCCTGAGATAACGTAGACGATGCATTATTTTAGATACTTTTGTCGAAA